AAATGTACAATTACCATTTTTTCAATTGTTTGAATATGAAACGATGTCTATCGTCGGCCAGTTGTCCAGTATATCGAATGGGTCTCAAGCTATCAATTGTCCAACGTAGTGGTATCTTAATTGATTTAATTAATTATTTAGTTTTTCTAAGAATGTCAAAGTGGTTTTAAATAGTTCAATGGCGTCAAAAATTTGATTATCTGTTGGTCAAATACATCAACGACGCCAAAGTGGGCGTGGTTATCTCGGTTCAGTCTACTCGCTGGGCGTGTCCTAGGAATGCGAAGGGAGGGCCGTTTCAAATTATTTTTCAAATGCGTTCAAGACATTTACAAGAAGGGCAAGGGCAGAAGAGATTGTCTAGACGTTTATTTTCATTTCCGGCAATGAAATTTTGTCGTAATTTATCAGTGGTGCGAGACGTAATGCTTGACGTAAAGACGACATTAACCTTGACCGACATGTCCGTCGGCGGCTTCATCTACAAAGGCCCAGTGTGAAGTTCGAAGAACCCTTCCTATTGTACAGTAATTTACACTCAGTCTCCTGACAAATTCGCGCTGGCTGTATCCTTCCTCTAATAATTTTATGACCCTGACACTCTCATCCCCACTCAAATGCCTAACTTTAACCTTTGAAAAAAGATTAAAAATAAGAATAATATCAAATAAAATCAAAGAAGTAAAAATATTAACTGAAAGCGATCTTTGGCGTAGCAGAATGGAAGGGCTTAATGTTCCCTTTTGTGAAAATGGGATTAGTCAGCACTCAAACTATCAATTGTCCAAAGTAGTAGTATCTTAAATGATTTAATTAATTCTTCAGTGTTTCTAAGAATGTCAGTGGTTTTAAATAGTTCAATGACGTCAAAGTGGGCGTGGTTATCTAGGTTCAGTCTACTCGCTGGGTGTGTCCAAGAAATGCGAAGGATGGGTAGTTTCAAATTATTTTTCAAATGCGTTCAAGACATTTAAAAGAAGGGCAAGGGCAGAAGAGATTGTCTAGACGTTTTTTTCATTCCGGCAATGAAATTTTGTCGTAATTTATCAGTGATGCGAGACGTAATGCTTGACGTAAAGACGACATGTCCGTCGGCGGCTTTATTAAAGCTTCTTCTTCATCGGGTACAAATTGGCAGCAATTAGCTCCAAAAAGTGGTTAAATGAAAATAAAATTAATTATACAGTTTCCTCTATAAAATCCCCCAACGACGGGAGCGCGGAAATGTACAAACTCATTTGAGCCGGTCTGAAATTGACTGCGAGCCAGACATGTCAGCCTAAGGGGTTGTCCTCAATGACAACCGAAATTAATATTCTGTTTAGTAACGACCAGCGAGATTAGTCGGACCCTATTGTATTATTGAAATTTTACTCACGGACAATTCAAGTCCTTTCGTCAATTATGAGGGCGACGCGTTTCCCACCCTTAGCACTATTTCCCGTCGATTTTTTTTTGTCAAACAGTATTATTCATTTTGCTTTAAAAGACTTGTTTTGATTAGTTTTTGTTCTTGAAATCGGGATTTTGGTTGTATCAATCAGTGAAGCCAATGGAAAACAAAAGGAAAGAGTCACGGTTTTCTAACTTAGTTTTTCTTTTTTTTTCCATTTTCTTCATTTGTGTATTTTCCCTGTATTGCAAAGGGCATTTTGTGCAAATTGAAGCATCTGCCGATCCGGGAAGCGCATGCTTCGGCATCCGCCTCCGAGTCGGCTTTCCTCCTTGTCTGAATTCAGTCCGTTCCCGTCCCCGGTGCTGAAAACAACCCACCGCTCATCTTACCCTCTCGAACACGTAAGTCAACGAGAATAGAAAAAAAAAGAGAAACCGAGGATAATTTTCATTTTGGAAACCTTCATGGCCGGGAAATCCTAACAAAAGGAAATAAATGAAAAATTTCTATTTGTTTTTACCTTTTTCAATAAATTTATTCTAAACAAATATCAGAGAAACAAGTGGAAGAGGGAAAACATGGTTAACGAAAATCTAGGATTTCTTTAAAAAAAATTAACAAACCTACAGATTATCTATTTTAAAATTAAAACACTATTTCCAGGTTAGTAAAAAAAGTATTACAAATCTAGACAAAAATCATCATATAAAAATTTTCCTTGGGAGATTTATGAACTCATACAAATGACCAGTTGAAAATTCAACACATGTACGTCTTATTCTAAGGCTCGCCCATTCCAAGGTTCAGAGTTTACAAATTTTCTTCTTTTTCTTAAATTTCAATTTGGAATACTGATATATAGGCTGTGATTAAAGGGTTATGTGTGGGACGTGTCAACAGTGAACTCCTCTTTGTCAAGTGCCAAGTCAATCAAGGAAATTCGATTGAATATCAAGCTTGCTAACTCCAATCTGAGCCTCTGTTATTTATCTCATTCTCTCTCTATACGCTTGATACATGACAGAGAAAAGGAGAGAGAGGGAGAGAGAGAAAGGGAGGGAGGGAGAGAGAGAGAGAGAGAGAGAGAGAGAGAGAGAGAGAGAGCGAGAGTGTGTGTGAGAAAGGGAGGGAAAGACATTGAAAATGATAAAGAAATAGAGAGATCAAGAAAAAAGAGAAGGAAAATGATAGAGAGAGAGAGAAAGGGATAGAGAATGAGAAAGGGAGGGAAAGAGAAAGAGAAAGAGAGAGAGAAAATAAGAATGAGAATAAGACTCACGATTTATATATCTCTTTCTTTCCTATTCTTTCTTTTATTCTATTATTTCTTTAATTTCTTATACAGTACTGTCTCATTCTCACTATCTGTCTACTCAATCGCATTCACCTTTCGCTCTATCTCACATGCACACACACACACACACACACGCACACGCACACACACGCACGCACGCACGCACGCACCATTCTGCCTGTCTGTCTGTTTTTTTCATCCCTCCTTTAATTTTTCTCATCTTCACTTCACCGACTCGTTCATTCCGTTACTTTTAGCAGTGTGTCTTTCTCTTTTTACCCTAGATGTAAATATACTTTCAGGGTATAGTATACTGCGCCTTTTAAGAGCTATTGTATCCGTGCTATGCCTAAAGCACATCGGTGAGTCCTATTTCATCAAGAACCTTGATTAATAGACCCGGTTTCAGTGGTTGAAGCTCTTCTATGGTCACATTATACATCCCAAAACATTTCCCTCTACGGGCTAGTGCAGCACCGCAGTTTGTTAGTAGATGTGTTAGTGTCTCTTCTGCCTATTGGCAGAATCTGCATGTGCCATTTTGGATTATTCCAGTCTTCTTTAAGTGTCCGTTTAACTGAAGTTAAAGTGAATTTGTTAAATTTAAACAATGTTTGTAAATCCCAGGCCCTGAAGATGATCTCAATAAAGTTCGAAACGTTGGCACGATAAAGAAAATGTTTTTCTGAAACCTACATCACACCACACCGCATCTCACGATTTCTGAATAATTATCTACTAACGGTCACTAATCACCACACATTTTTGCCGTATCTTTGTATTTCTTGACCACTTTAAAATCCTATTGCACCACTGTTTTCAGCGTAAAACATTTTTTAAAATGATGTGTCAGGAGGTATAGGGTCGTATTTGAAATTTTGATTCTTAACTGGGCCTGAGATGCCCTGTATAATTTTTCTCCAACAAAAAATAAAAGATTGAAACTAGACTACAAAATATTAAACATGTTTTTTTTTTATAGCCTCATTGGTTCAAGAGAAATCCAACCGGGCCATGTAAAAAGGGCACCCTGTATAAAAAATTACTTAACTGAACATATAGTCAATTTATAATCTGTGGTGAATTGGATTTGATTCTATATATTTAGTTCGTACTAAAACTTCGAGATTCGTGTGCTTGAAACATTTTCTTCCATTCTGGATTCAAAAGGTGTTCCTTATTCATTGGCCATGAAAAACATTTTAGAGTTACACTTTTAATAAGAACTGCTTGTAGGACTGTACAATGGTTGCTGCGCTGTGTTTTTCTCCCCAGGAGGAATATGGCATCATTTGGAACACTAAATAGTCACATTTCCTCTTTCACATTTTCAATTTAGTAAACCTAAAAATATGCCAGAATTTGGAACATAACTTCTTCAGTATATGATATATCATGTTGAATTTTTCAAAACAGAAATTAGCCGATTCCCCGGCGATGCGGGAATTTTTTTACAAGAAAAATTAAAAGCATCCTTGTGAAAACAACGGGCTCGATCGAATTGGCGAAAATTTATCTTAAATGTTTTTTTTTTCTTTTTATTGTATATTACAACTACCTGCATTTTGGTATCTAGTAATAATGTATGAATAAATATTAAGAAAAACAAGAGTGGAGAAACTACCCACCGGTAGTACTCCTAACTATTCTTTATTCAATTGTCACTGGATAGAAGATCCCGTGGCCATCGTCTTTTTAGTCGGCGAAGAGGGTTGGAAGGAATTCGTCGGGAAGAGAGGATTTGAATTTGAGGATGTATAGTGGTTGGGAGGTTTGTGAAAAATTTTTGGTAACGGGAGTGGGTTACATCTTGGACAAAAGGAATATCTAGGTCTTTATGGGTAGTGTCGTTGGACACAAAAAGGGAGCATTAAGGATTTTTCTGAGGATGATGGATTGGGCTCTTTGAATGCGTAGGATATTGGAATGTTTGGCTGAACCCCACACTTCCAGTCCATAAGTCCATATTGGCTTCACAATGGTGATATAAAGTAGTCTTTTGTTTAAGAGAGGTAGGTTAGAACGTCTGTGAAGAAGTCGTGAAAGTGCTCTGTAACGTTTCATAACTTCTTGTCGTTTCAGTCGTGTGTGGGGATTCCACGTCAGACGTTTGTCAATGTATAGTCCTAGGTAACGCACCTTGCCCGCAATTGGGAAGGGTATTTGATTGAAGTAGACTGGAGGAGGGATCTTTTTGCGGAGGGTGAAAGTTATGTGGGTGGATTTTTCTGGGTTGAATTTGAGTCTTTTTTTTACACCATGATTCCAGTAGTGTGAGGTGTTCTTGAAGGTTTCGATTGGAATGACTGGATCAGAATTGCTTGAGAGGATCGCTGTATCGTCTGCAAAGGTTAGAGTGGTAGTTTGAGGATGGGATGGGAAGTCTGCCGTGTACACTTGGTACAGTACGGGTGCCAGAACATTGCCCTGCGGAACACCAGCAAGGAGAAGGTGGTTTGGGGAAGACGCCGATCCTTCAATGACTCGGAAGTACCGATCAGTGAGGTAGCTACGAAGGATAAGGTAATAGGTTGAGGGAAGGATGTCCTTGAGCAAAAACAGCAAGCCCGGGTGCCAAACTCGATCGAAGGCCTGGGCCACATCAAGAAAGGCCCCCGAACAATACTTTCCCAACTCAAGAGAGGCAGAAATAACATCTACAACCCGGTGGCACTGCTGAACTGCTGAGTGACCGTCACGAAATCCAAATTGATGGTCAGGGATAACTTTTTTAGAATTAAGGATTGGGAGGATACGTTTTAAAATAAGCCGTTCTAGGATTTTTCCTAAAATCGGTAGTAGGCTAATGGGTTTGTAGGAAGAAGGACAATGTGTGTGTTTTTTGGGTTTAGGAATCATACGGATGACAGAATGTTTCCAGGGACTAGGAAAATAGGTTGTGCGTAGGACTGAATTAAATATATAAGTTATGAATATTACGGATTTCTTTGGAAAGTGTTTGAGGATTTGGGGAGTTAGCAAGTCAAATCCAGGAGCTTTTTTACGTTTGAGCTGGCGTATAGCATACTGGACATCTGACGGAGAGAAAGGTTTAGGAGGAAGGGATAAAGGGAGGGGAGAGTTTAGGAATTCTTAGATCTGACGAACATAATCTGGGTCTATGATATTGGCGTGTGGGGTGAAGACAGTGGAAAGGTGATCTGCAAAATGGATGGCTTTCTCCTCGTCCGATTTGGACCAAGATCCATCTTGTCAGCGAAGAGGGGAGGATACTTTATGGTAAGATAGGATTTTTCGAGTAGCCACCCAGAGCGACTTAATGTAAACTTAAATGTAAACAATATAGTTATTATACCGGGAATCTACGATTCAGTTATGTATTTTAAGGTGCTACCAGTACGCTGCCATCATCATTATCGGAAAAGTCTTTTTCTAGGTATAAATATTTTGACCGCTGAACACTGTAGAATTGCAGAAATTAACTTTCAAATGTTCAGATTATGAATATAATTAGGCAAGTTAATTATTATGAACATTATAAATTACAGTTAATTAAGGTTTTCAGTTGAGTTAAAAAAGTCAAAGGCACGAGCGGGATTCGAACCCACCATCTTCGGCTTGATACGCCGCTGCTCTACCACTTGAGCTATCGTGACCTCGATCCACTCGGACACCAACTTCCCAACTCAACCCCACCTTTTGAGTTTTCCCTCCTTTTTGCCATTTTTCACATGTCGTGTAATCAATTTGATTCTCGGCGACAAATGAAATGGCCGCGGAGAGCTTTAGTGAAGTATACTTAATTTTAAACTTATTAAATTCACTAGTTTCGTGGTCCGCTTGACCAATTAACATCTTACAATTAATTAAGGTTTTCAGTTGAGATAAAGAAGGCAATGGCACGAGCGGGATTCGAACCCACGATCTTCGGCTTGATACGCCGCTGCTCTAACTAATAAATTAATTAATTTTTTCCCCGGAAAGTCCTTCACTGGCGCTGAATTTGAATCTCTTCAAATAAGTAGTAAACGTGCCATGTACGCAGTATGTGTGACTGTCTGAACATGAGTAAATTATTAACACAAAGAAATTGTTTTAAAACATTGGAAATAAGTGAGATAAGCCTGGTATGAATTTCGCTAAGGTTTGGGATTGTTTTGAAGTTTTAAATATCGAGGGAAATTGATTAAGGGAGCCTCCGTCGCCTCAAACCGGATATCCGGTGCTTTGCCCACTAATAAGCAACCACCGATAAGCCGAAAGGGGTGGCTACACAACAACTTAACAACATTCAATAATTGAATTTTGAGGAGAAATGAACTCCTCGAGCATTCTTTCGCGAAAGGGTTGAAAATGGAAGGAAAGAAGCGCCTGTCATTGATGACAGACGGGGCGTCATAAAGGGCGGGGGTTCATTTTCAATTTTCCTCCTGAGGAAACGGCCAATGCATTAATAGGAATCAATACACGGCTCGCCTGTTTGACGAGGTGTGTAAACAAATCCGCACCCTTTTGCGATTGGCACTAACGTCCGGGCCCCTTTTAAACCCCCTTTTCACAACCCCTTTCCCCACTTGAAGGAAACGTGAAAGAAAACACTTTCCCCGATGCTCGCACAACCCCACTTTCGCCCTCTTGTGTAGCCATAATTTCCATTTTTTAATTATACTGCATACAATCTGGCCGTCGTCTTAGGACAGATTTACTCCCCCGCCCGTTTTTAAATTATGTGGAATGTACTACTCGGTGATACATAAAGGTTGTTATTAAAATGTGTATCACATTTCCGACTTTTCCGGCCTCGTTTATTTTCTTTTTCTTCCACTTGTCTGAAAAATACCCCTTATTTGCAATATTAAACGTTGCGCAACTCTTATATAACCGTTTTTTAATATATAATTCTGTTTGATCTGAAAAAGGAGAGCGTACTACGATACACCCACAACAAACCGTCATTTCTACGATTCGGTCGCATATTTTTTATTCTGTTTTTAAATATGAAATATAACGATGAAGTTGAGAAGATACGGACGCATAGCGAAATTTGCCGGTCGTCTAGAATGGAAACGTGCTCCAAACTAGCAAAGTTCACGCCCAAGTGCCCCCTAAGGTCGGTCAACTCTACGACGCCTATTTTTCACGACATTAGGGAAGTGCAAAATTAAGTCATGCTCACTTTGACGTCATTGGAAATGGGACAAACCAGCTGATACACTCCGACCTGGACGTCAGTGGAAATTAGACTAACCAGCTGAAACATGCCCATTTTGATGACATTGACAATTACCGCATAGCTTAGGTACGCTTACTTTTAAGTCAATGGAGGTTTGATCAACCGACGACACAACTATTACGTCATGAAGCGTCCGACCAACCTGAAGAGTCACGTCCATTCATTGGGATTGGATTAACCAGCTGATACACTCCCACTTTGGCGTCACGAGACGTTTGACCAACGTACAATTACGTCTTCGTTGATGTCATTGGACATTTGACCTATCATCACACACAAGCCCATTTTGATGACTTTAAGAATCATCGCATAGCTTAGGTTCGCTCACTTTGAAATCATTGGAGATTTGATCAACCCGACGACACAACTATTACGTCAGGGAGCGTTTGACCATCTAGAAGGGTCACGTCCACTTTATCGTTATTGGGATTGGATTATCCAGCTGATATATGCCCACTTTGACGTCACGAGACGTTTAACCAACTTGCAATTACGGCTACGTTGATTACATTGGACATTTGACCAATCATCAGACACAAGCCAATTTTGATGAGTTTGACAAACAAGTGCTCCAAACTAGCATAGTTCACGCCCAAGTTCAACTCTACGACGCCTATTTTTCACTACATTGGGGAAGTGCCGCACAATTAAGGCATGCTCACTTTGACGCCATTGGAAATGGGACAAACCAGCTGATACACGCCGACCTGGACGTCAGTGGAAATTAGACTAACCAGCTGAAACATGCCCATTTTGATGACTTTGAGAATCACCGCATAGCTTAGGTTCGCTCACTTTGAAGTCATTGGAGATTTGATCAACCCGACGACACAGACGACACAAATATTACGACATGGAGCGTTTGACAAACTAGAAGAGTCACGTCCACTTTATCGTTATTGGATTAACCAGCTGATACACGCCTACTTTGAGGTCACGAGACGTTTGACCAACTTGCAATTACGGCTACGTTGATGACATTGGACATTTGACCAATCATTAGACATTGACAATTACGCCATTGTTTAGGTTCAATCAATTTGAAGTCATAGGAATCAGACGGCACATGTCTACTTTACGCCATGGAGGGTTTGACCAACTTGGCCAAGCTGTGTAGAGCTGCAGTGCTCATTCAAACTACCCACCAGACGAACAATGTTAATTTGATGTAATGGGTAAACGTAAAGATTACATTGGTTACTTCTATTTTGTTTTAATTTGAAAATGTAATTGAACATTCCGACGACGTTGAATCTTAATCAATTGTTAAATTATCTGCATTAAACGGTTCACCTTCACTGCGCATAAACACCTGGTTTCCAAGATGGAAATTAACTGTATTAAAAAAAAAGATTAATTTTGCTACTGAATTCTTTGTATCTAAGAGTGAGCATGTAAGCATTTCAGATCCCTCGTTTTCGAAAGAACCACTAACGGATGTCATCAAATTTTTTTGTGATTGAGGGCGAACCTGGACGGAGAATTAATCGTCTTTACGAGGGATGAAACCGATAATAACTAAAACAGTTACAATACAGGTTCCGATAGGGGTCGATCGAGGATATTACAAGCGTAGGGCTTTGGCCGTTCGGCCTGTAGCAATCAGCTTAAAAACCACTCTTCCTTTTGTCGCAGGGTGCTTTTGTACACGTTTGAGCTTTATCCTCTCAAATGGGCGCTTTTTAACAAACTCCAATGTTTACTTCACCGCGACAGGGTCCGAGGTCAAAGGATTTTTCAAGTGGTACACGGTAAATTCAAACTAGGATAAAAATCGGGACAAATCAATAGATTTCGATAGTTGTATCACATAAAAAACAGACGGAATGATTCGATCGTGACAATACTGTTTGTTTCTTTATACTCATCCAATCGCAGGTGTGATAATTTCACGAAACTTCGCATAATTATTGAGAATTTGAAACTGACTGTTCGAGATCTTTTCCGGATATCCGTTCCTGGGCGGACTAAACTCGTGTATGAACATATTTCCCTAACATCAAGGGGTGAATATAGTGCCATCATTGAAATAAAATAACGGTCCGTAATTACTCTTTTTATTGATGAAGATGGCAATAATTAGTCGATAAGAATAAATAAGAGTATCACGGCGAAAATGTAGCGGTGCGGGTCTAGCTTAATGCCAGACGACTTGAGCACTTTGTAATTGACAAAGCTGACCAATTCGGACTGTTCTCCAAAGATGAGAGGCTTTTCCGTGTTGCCGCAGTCGTTCGTGCCGACGAAATACCCGTAGACGTACCCTTGGCAGACCAACGGGGTGCCCCTGTCGCCGTCGCAGATCATAAACTTGGGATCCCTCGCCCTTGCGCATATGAGTCCAGCCCGCATGAAGACTTGCTTATCGATGCAGTTCTTCCCCTCGCCACAGTACATCCTGATGCAGAGTTCGTCGCTTATGATCTCAACCTCTTGGGAAATCATCTGTGAGCTGAATATATTGTACCGGTTGTTGCGGTAATCCGTGGCCGTGTAGCCGCTCACCCAGCACAGCTTGCAGAAGCGGTGGTCGTTGTTCTTGAAGAACTTCTGCCTCGTCACGAGCTCTTCCTTGTTCTCCGACAGGTAGACGGCCGAGTTGAGATTCTTCCCGAAGAAGAACTGAAAATTGAGCGTGATGAGGGTGTAGTCCTTCTCCCACATACCCTTGGCGAGGGTCGGCCCCGGGCCGCAGGAATCATGGCGCTTCCAAGATTTCGGTGTCCTTATCTGCCTGAATTTGCTCGATTCGGGATTGTTGTCGTCCCAATAGATTTTCACAGTGCCGCCGATGACCCGGACCTTCCTCATATCATTCCCCACGGACGAGAAGCACCTGCAGGAAGTAACCACTTTCGACTCGGTGACGATTGTCCCAATGCATGTCGGTGATGGCACATCTTTCGCTGTTTCCTGGAATGTGATGGTCGCGAGGAAGTTGTACCTCCCGATCGCCGTATCGCCGAAATAAATTTGCTCCGAAGTCGATTCCGTCAAAAGAGCGACGATCAAGAGCACGAGACGTCTCATTTAGATTTTTACGATTTACAACATCAACTCCGTTTTTGTTCAATTTCCCATGAAGAACATATGTTTGAAAAATTAATTGTAACATGTTTTACAGGAACAGAAATAAAAAATTCATTTTCACGGCTTCCTCCTTATATCAAAAATCAACAAAATGCTTCAAAATTAAAAAGCGAAAAAAAAAGGAAAATAGTACAGAACTGGAACACACGTTTAAACACACGGATCGGACCCCGGACTTGATGAAACTCGGTTCGTGGATTTCCAAGTGGTGGAAATGCTCTCGGTGGGACTTTGAAGAGAGGCCGCCGGCTTTGGGACCGGCATAGGAGATGTTCAAGTCGAAGCTTTTAACCAGGTTCGTCGGCCTGTGCAGGGGCAGCCTACGGCGGGCCTCGGACGATGCCAAGGATGCCATCAGAGCTCTCAACTCCGTCTCCGAAGAAACTGAAGACCGCCTCCCCAAGACGACGAAACAAGAGCCGTTGCTCATCGGTGGCAGAGTGGGAGAGTGCGACCCCTCGGTCCTCGAGCTGCGGGAACTGTCGAATGATGAAGCGGGGGTATCAAAGCTGGCAATGGTAGGAGAACGGGACCCTTTCCTTTTGGACTGGGTCTACGAGAGCGAAACCGCATCGTCTGACGCCTACGAGACACTTTTCTTAGAGAGACAACACAGGTCGCAGGTTCTGCCACGGAGGAAGTCAAGCGAGAGATCCCTCGCCAACGAAGGCTTGCTGCTTTTGACGGCCCAGTCTGACCCGGTTGCAGACGTCTTCAAAGAGCTATTTATTATTATAGAAGAAGAAGAGAGGAAAAAAACTTCTACCCTCAACGTTTCTTCGGAAGAAAAAACAGAAATTCAGTGCGGTGATGGAGAAATACCAGAACTGCCGGAAGACCCCACTTGGGGCCAGCCGGATACGCGTATACGTATATTCACAGGGGTGTCGGATGATGGTTCGGGGCAGAAAACCTACCATCTGTACATCGAAGAGGCTGACCTGTTGGACGAGAAGACTTGCGAGAAGATTTTCGCGACGCTATACGGCGCAAACGAGACCATCGAAATTCTCAGGATCGAAGCAGATGAGAAAGAATGTAAAGTGAAAAGGACTGTCGTGCCTAGTAAAAACAAAGACATGAAAAAATATGGGTATTTGGCAAAAGAAGAACAGGGCCAATGCTCGTCCACGTCGACTGGTGATTCAAAACACAAAGAACAAGGGCCTAGAGAAGAAAATATGAAAGATAAAAAGAGCGACATAAAGCAAAAGACTCCAGGAGATTGTAAAAGAAAAAATACCGTCTCTTCTAAAAAACCAGCAACTCCTAAACACAAAGAGGGTGTCTGTGATAAAAAGCCTGCAACTCCCGCAGAGAAAACAAATCGAACTTCTAAGAAACCAGCAACACCTAAGAACACAAAAGATATCTGTGATAAGAAGTCTGTAACTCATAAGGACAAAAAGGATGTCTGTGAAAAGAAGTCACCTTCAACTCCCAAAGAACAAACTGGCGCAAATTCTAAGAAACCAGCAACTCCTAAGGAAAAAAAGGATGTCTGTGATAAGAAGGCTGGAACCCCCAAGGAGAAAAAAGATGTCTGTGGTAAGAAGCCTGGAAATCCCACAGAAAAAACAAACGCCTCTTCTGACAAACCATCGACTCCCAAGGACAAAAAGGATGTCTGTGGTAAGAAGCTTGGAACTCCCATAGAAAAAACAAACGCCTCTTCTGACAAACCATCGACTCCCAAGGATAAAAAGGATGTCTGTGGTAAGAAGCTTGGAACTCCCACAGAAAAAACAAACGCCTCTTCTGACAAACCATCGACTCCAAAGGATAAAAAGGATGTCTGTGCTAAGAAGCTTGGAACTCCCACAGAAAAAACAAACGCCTCTTCTGACAAACCACCGACTCCCAAAGACAAAAAGGATATCTGTGGTAAGAAGCCTGGAACTCCCACAGAAAAAACAAACGCCTCTTCTGACAAACCACCGACTCCCAAAGACAAAAAGGATGTCTGTGGAAAGAAGCTTGGAACTCCCACAAAAAAAACAAACGCCTCTTCCGACAAACCACCGAATCCCAAAGACAAAAAGGATGTCTGTGGTAAGAAGCCTGGAACTCCCACAGAAAAAACAAAAACCTCTTCTGACAAATCATCGAATCCCAAGGATAAAAAGGATGTCTGTGGTAAGAAGCTTGGAACCCCCTCAGAAAAAGCAAACGCCTCTTCTGACAAACAATCGACTCCCAAGGATAAAAAGGATGTCTGCGGTAAGAAGCTTGGAACCCCCTCAGAAAAAACAAACGCCTCTTCTGACAAACCATCGACGCCCAAGGACAAAGAGGATGTCTGTGGTAAGAAGCCTGGAACTCCCACAGAAAAAACAAACGCCTCTTCTGTCAAACCACCGACACCCAAAGACAAAAAGGATGTCTGT